TCCAAAATTTCTCAACTTATGATAATTTGGAGGGGTTTGAAATAGTTTAAGAAAGGGAGATATATTTTGAAGTGATGGTGTAGGGAGTCTATTTATTAAATATGTGGCAGTAGCAAAGGCATGAGGCCAAAGAGTAAGAGGGAGCTTGGCACGTGAGAGGAGTGTTAAACCAGTTTCGACAATATGCCTATGTCGACGTTCCGCATATCCATTTAGCTCAGGAGTGTGCGGAGGAGTAGTAAGATGAGAAATGCCATTAATTGAGAGATATGGAGTGAGTTTTTCATATTCACCCCCATTGTCCGAGAACACTTGAATTATAGGACGCTTAAAGAATTTCTCTACAAGGGCTCTAAATCGTAGAAAAACATCATGTGTATCCGACTTTTTCTTTAAGGGATAGAACCAAACATATTTTGTGAAATGATCTACAAAAATTACATAGTACTTGTAATTATCGTAAGAATAAACTGGAAATGACCACACATCAGTAAAAATGAGATCAAGAGGGGCTTTTGATGATAAAGTAGAAAGAGAGAAGGGCAACTTGTGACTTTTATTCATATTGCATGAATTACAATAGGACATAGCAAAATCTGAATTTTTTAAATCAAAACTGGAATTTAAAGTCTTAAGAATAGAAGAAGATGGATGTCCAAGACGATGATGCCAATCATGCATCGGTAATTTTTGAGTAGTGTAGACTCGAGGAGGACTTGGATTCCATTCATAGACTCCGGCTCTAGTTGGTCCTTGGAGTAGGACTGTGCCCTTCAAAAGCTCCTTAACACGAAAAAAAGAGGGTAAGAACTCGATACTTGTGTTATTTTCTTGACAAAATTTAGAGATGGATAAGATATTTCTAGAGATAGACGGAACATGTAGGACATTAGAAAAATTAAAAGATTTAGATGGGGTTGAGAGAGAGAGAAAGAACCAGTGTTTTGAATGGGTAGAGTAAAGCCATCACCAATTACAAGTTCCTCGGTGCTATCATAAGGAGCATGAAGGGAGAGGTTAGCAAGATCATTTGTCACATGATGAGACGCACCACTGTCTAAGAGCCATGTATTGGATGGCGGGACATTAGCAGTTGCAAGATGAGCATGAGGCGGATGATACCCCTTTTGTACAGCCCGGGCTTGGGTAGCAGTAGGAACCCGAATAGTGGGGAAGAGAGCCTTGAATGTTGTGCATTGATCAAGAGCATGACCTTGATTGCGGCACCATTGACATTTGCCGAGGTAAGGTTTTTGTTGTCGAGGGACCTGATTACTACTTGGAGTAGGAAGGAGAGCGGGAGCCGGTGTGGACAGATGTTGATGTTTGGTGTTGGCATGAGCACGGTATTGAGCAGCATGAACCGTGGCAGGGAATGGAGTAGATGAAACTGATGATGCAGCCATAAGTTCCTTAGTGATGAGCTTCTCATGGAGCTCTTCAAAGGAAATAGGGGCATCCCTAGCATTGACCGCATCAATAACAGATTTATAAATATCATAATCAAGACCAAGAAGTACCTTATCAATGATATCTTCATGTTCCATAGGCCTTCCCATGGAGGCAAGACGATCAGTACATTGCTTAATGGCTTGCATGTACTCTAAAATACTTTGAGTTGTTTTGGTTATTTTTGCTAAATGATCCTTGATTTGTTTGAAGTGACCACGAGATGGGTTTGCATAGGTAGAGGCTAGAATATTCCAAGCCTCTTGAACCGTAGCCGATTGAGAAATAAGAGGAACAAGCTCTTGAGATAGGGTACCAACAAGAGCACCATAGACGAGACGATCTTGGCGAAACCAAGTAAGGGCAGCGGGGTTGGCTTGGGAGGTACCTTCAGCATTGTTGATTGAGGCAGGAGGGGAGGGAAAAGAACCATCAACATATTTGTATAGGTCATAGCCTAATAACGTGGCTTGAATTTGAGCTTTCCAAGCGATATAGTTGGTAGGGGTAAGCTTAATTGCATTGTGAAGGTGAAAAATAGTGAAAGGTTTGGAAGGATCATTAGAGTTGGGAATAAGAGCTTGATGATCAGAAGACATGATGATAAAGAGGGAAAAAAAATCGTAGCTCTAATACCATATAAAGAATAGAGAAAAAGCTTGCTTTGTATTATTAATTTACAGAGTATTTATATACAAGCCTTGAGTGACCACTATAGAAAATAAGTCAACATACTACCTTAAATAAAGAGATTACAAAGTTAAGACTATACTATACATGACACTAAAATATATTAGAATAATATATATACTAAGATAGGAGATTGTGATTGATTGTAATCAATCATGCTCATTCATCAAGGCTGCAATTTAGGAGATGATTTCTCCTTAATTACTATCTATGATATCTTTCCTTCAATAGTCTCAACATCAACCTTGACAACAACTCTGTACCTCCGAATTAAAGTTATTGCGTCATTTTAATTTAGTAGTCACATTATTTGTTTGAAGTAGACTATCTTTTATACACAGATTCCACTGCATTTGTTATGGTCTATAGTCTCTATACTATATTACTACTTTGAGTGTTAAAGACTTGATTCACACCTTGTATGTAATTTGGTGTTTTACCGTTACTAGTAATCTTGTTATTACTTAGATCCAACACTTGACGAACCCATATTTCCTCAAAAGACACCCCAAACCATAGCCGGAAGCTCGGAACACCATCATAACTATTAACCCGCTATTAGTTAACAATCTTAACATGCAAATATACTGCTTATGTAGCCGTAAGTAAGTTAAATTAGTCAAACCATGTGTGTTAATTCTAGCAGGCATGCATGAATATATATTACAACACCGTGAAATTGACACCACTTGTAATATGAAAATTATATTATACCTACAAGTTGCTAAATTAACAATTAACCTATAAACCAATGCATGTTGAAGCCAATAAATGAGTGGGCATTATTTTAAATGTAGTGTAAATCGTTAAACGTATAACCTCAATAAATATTCAAAAACAAAGTTTCTAGAATAGACTTGCATAATTTCATATTGTTTTATTTAGATCTTTTCCTTGAAAAAAAATTCAATCAATACACTGAAAAGTAAAGGTTATAGAAATTAATATACGGACCAATTAGACCATTTCTTAGAATAAGAATGTAAATTTAATTGGAGTGGTCATTTTCTGATAATACTCGGTAGAATTAAACACGAAATCATCACTAGCACAAATATTTTCAACTTGGCATGCAACTAATGGAAATAATGTGTAGTTAATCTCACACGAAATGTTAGGAAAAAAAAATAAAATATCACGCACGAAGTGTAATTATAAATTAAAATTAGCAAGTACATGTATAATTTATAATGGAGCACATGGATCCTTGAGCTATGCAACATTATTGGCAAAACCAAAAAAAAAAAAAAAAAAGAAAAAAAAAAACGGCTAGCCTTTTTGCCGTTTTGGCCTTTTACTACGGTGATGAACATACTAAATCACCATATATACCTTTTCGAGAGTGAGGGATAACTCAAGTGGTTATGCCTTCCTTCCCGATTACAGGACATCCTGAAATCGATTCTTATCACCCCCGCCCTTATGGCTCTCTAAACACCAAAAAAAAAAAAAACCTATATATACCTTTTCAAATAATCTATCCAAAAATATTAATTTCTCTTCTCCAAACAAAAGTTTTTTAGTAATATCCAATGTAGTTATGCATCCATAAGGTTGAGAAGCTCTTCCAAAATATTAGTAAAACACAAATTCTTATATGTGGTTGGCCACACCATATGGCCAGCAATTATGACAGTTACTTTGTTAGTATTATAGGGATTACTCGATCAGTGTAACAATAAGGGATACTCGATCAGTGTAACAATAAGGGATACTCGATCAGTATTATAGGGTTTACTTTGTTTTTTTTACAAGCGGTCACATGGTGTGGCCAGCAGCACACAAGACGTATTGTTAATAAAAAATTGATAATTATCATTTAGAAATTAAAATGGTAATTAATTAAGGTAAAAACTAATTAAATTTAACTGTATATATGTTTAAAATGTGCAAGCTAGTAAATGCATGAAGAAGAAAAGTTCAGATTTATCCTAAAAAACCGTTTTGTTCGACCTATTCTCCTTTGTAGAATGGTAGGGAATGCATGTTTACACATCCCTACAACTAACTTTACATTTTATCCTTAAACTTATATATAGATTTTATAATTACAAAATAAACTCTTCCCGTATCAACATACACTTATAATTAATCTTCATACATCTTAGTTTTTAATTTCTTTGACATAACCTCAATGTTCAAATCCAACAATTGTCTTCACCATTCTATCTAGATCATCATGAAGACTAGTCTCAAACTCACATAATAAAACAACTCATGTGCAATTAAATATACCATGTTTTTTGTCACCACATCTTGTGTATCAATTAAAAGTGACTTGTAAGGAGTTCTCCATATAGTATGTGTAAGGGAGTAAAGAACAAAGGAAGCAAAATAATAGACAGACCATAATCTCTTCACATTGAAAAGATAGCTAGTAAAATATAGTTTCAATTATTAAAAATCCATTGTGGTCATTAAGATTAATTTTTAATCAAGTATTTGTGAGAATTTTTATTATTATAAAAAAAAGCTTTGTGAGAGTTTGAATTAAAAAATTCCTTGAATTGCATCTAATGACATGAAATTTAAGCGGTTTATAACCATTGAGTCAAACTAAAAATTTTGATAGAGAAACACAATTTTAATTATTTTCTTCCTCAATACAATACTAAATAACACAAAATTACAAACAAGATACGAAGCAGTAATGGTTACTCGTATAAATACTCCAAATTTCGAATACGTATTCCGTAAATATTACCGAGCAATGTAATTTGTCCAATTTCCAGGACTTGATCTCGCACTCCAGAATTGAATCAAAATCAATCTACCATTGTAATAAGTAACTAAAGTTGGAACTTGGAATAGAAAAAAATAAATAAATAATAAGCAATTAATAACGGGCAGATTTTGAAAAGTATCCAGTCAACACGGAGTTGAATCCTGATCTATTACGAACTCCACTCACAAAACAAAGCCTCCTATTTCGTCATCTCTTTATCAAACTACCTTACCTGCCCATTTCAAAAACTTCAAAATTCATTTTCACTCTATTCAAAAAAATCAAAAACTTAGGGTTTCTCTCTTTCTCTCTCTAAAAATTCTGTAGATCGAAGAACTCTGAGTCATAAAAATGGTGTCGCAGGATTATATACAGAAAATGGAGGTTCGGCAGAACTTCCGCAACCTCTGGCACACTGACCTTCTTCGCACTATTCAGGCTGATACTCCTTGTAAGATTATTTCTTCTTCTTCTTTTTCAATTTATCAAGTTTTCACTACTTTGGATTTTCACTACGAAAATCACTGTTTTCTGATTTTTTTTTTTTGGGAATTTTTTGATTTTGTTGCAGATTGCTGTTTGTCGTTGTTCTGGTAAATTCTTTGATCCGCTAATTTCTCAATTGCTGATTAGTTGAATTTTGGTTTTGTTAGTGTGTTTAGTGATTGTTTGACGAGATATGGATGATTTTGCTTGTTGACTTTGCGGTTTATTCGAGATGATTGATTAGGTTTTCAGATTTAAGAAAGTACTGAATGTAGGTTTTTAATTGAATTTTGATTGTCAATTTTGTGCTTTGTAACTGAAATTGGTGGTAAGTTTCTGCTGGTAATTAGATTTTTGCGTTTTAAATGAATTTTGATTGTCAGTTTTGTGCTTTGCAACTGAAATTGTTCCTGAGTTTCAGTTGATATATTAGAACCTTGCATTTTAAATGAATCTTGATTACCAGATTTGTAATTTGACATAGATTGCTTATGAAATTTTCCACTTGCTCTTTTTATTTATTTTTGGATATTTTACAATTAGTTGATCATATTTAGGAGTATCATGTGATTGAATATAGCTTGAATCAAATATGGCTTCAAAATGCATCGAGTAGTTTATAGACGATCTAATTGTGCAGCGAGACTGGGAGTTGGAAAAAAACCAAAAAAAAAAAAAATTTGCAATGTCAAGTAGACACTTGATATTCGTAGAACTTGGAAGGAGATGCTTGATTTTTATTTTGTGCTTTGATCTGTAGCATCGAAATGAATTGTGCCAGATTAGTGAGGATCAGAAAAAGTGAACAGAATTTTTAGTCATAGGAGTTACTCCCAATGAAAATTGATTTCTAGGAGTCTCTTAGGCTGAAAATTCCTAAGTAGTTTATCGCTTAAGTTGTGTTGATTTAAAAGAAACAATTCAAACTAACTTTAATCCATGGAATATTATTGCAATGGAGATTAATTTTCCTTTGTTGGTTCTTTGCTTGAAAATTTGGAGAGGAAAGGAAGAAGGGAGATGAAGGGTTAGAAATGGAAGGGGGGAGGAAGCTAAGTTGGGGAAGCACATGTAGCTCTCCTTACTAGAACAGGAATGCTTTTCCCCCCCTTAGAAAAACTATTCCAGCCTGGAAAGTTATTTTCATCCACTTACAAACCAAGCTAAGGAAAATTGGAAAAATTAGTTTTCCTGAAAAAATGTCCCTTCCAACCAAACGCAGCATTAAGATAGTGGGAGAAAGGAGAAATTCTTAATAGGAAGCTTCATTTGATGTATGGTAATATGGTTCATCAATGTCAAAAGAGGCCTTGTAAATATTACTGTAGTATTTAAATTTTGGAGAAATGCTGACTAATGATCTATATATATTGTGTCTTTGAATTACAAAAGGTCAAAAGAGGTCATATAATGTCAACAATCAAGCTTGCATCAGATTTTTTTACTTTAATTTTAAATAAACTTCTAGAGATTGAGAGCTTGTTAATTTCTTAGTTAGCAGGTGGAGGTTTTCTTAAAATTTGAAGTTTAATAAATCTATAATTTGCTGTAGTTAATGAATGTTAAACTTTTTCTGTGCTTCTAGAAATCAGATTTTTATCTCAACATTGTTTTATTGTTTTGTGCTCTATGATGGACTTTAGTGTTTTTTTTTCCTTCTCGCGGAGCACATAATGTTACATTCTTATTATATGCATTCTCAGCATGTACTAGTTGACTTTAAGTTAATCTCTCTTTATCATGCATGTTAACTGTTAAGTTTCTTTAAGTAGCACTGCTGATTATTTTTTGTTCTGTTTATAGTGCTCCATGTGTATCATATATGCTGCGTAAACGTGCTCTTTACAATGACATGTCAAGGTGAGTATATCTTGTAGCTGTTAAGTACTTTGTGAAGTTTATATAAATAAAATACCTTCCCTGAAAAGAAATACTACCTTCGCTCTTTGAACAGAGGTAGTACGTTGAAGTGGATTTTAACACACTTTTCTTTTGCTTGTAGATATGTATGCTGTGCAGGTTATATGCCTTGCAGTGGTCGGTGTGGTGAAAGCAAATGCCCTGAATTTTGTCTTGCAACTGAGGTATAGTGGATGTGCTTAATTTACTAGTTAACCTTTTTTGTAAAAATTTTAAATAAAAGCCTGTTAACTCTGCACCCCCCCCCCCTCCCCCCCTTAATTCCTTCCTCTCTGTCCCTGTTCTTTTTAGCTTGGTTAATTAGCACACAACAAAATGGGTTGGCAGAATGGCAGTGGCTATCTTCTTTTTCCTTTCTCCCTGCCTATGAAACATTTCCCTCCTGTTCAGACAATTATTGTTTTTGAGCTAAGTTTTCTTCTTTTTAATCTAACCAAGATGTTGACCTAATTAGTGCATCGACTACCTATTGATCTCAATAGAGGCAACATTTAAGAGCTGTTTAGGCCTCATTACCATGCTATTCAATTTGGAATTACCACTTTAAATCTATTCACCTACTTTGAAAGAGAAATTACTAACCAACAACTCCAATTTGTTGTGACTTGGATGAGAAGATAAAAGGAGAATAACAGGGGTGTGCAGAAGAGGGTTGTGGCTGACTGGTTGCTGATGTCCCATGGTTAGTGTCAATTTGAGTTTTATCAATTAGGCTCTATTCTCTTCACCTCAACACTTTGTTTGGATAAGAGAAAGGAAGAGAAGGGGAGTGGGGGGTAACAAGTTCCTTTGCTTGGAGAGGAGGTTGGGGAAGGAATTTTCCTTTCTTTAATAAAGACCATCTCTCCAAAATTAGAGAGATTTGGGTGTGGCCAAGGAAAGAACAAATGTGGTGTCACCTGACCTGGTTTTATTCTGTCCATTTGGTCATAGGCGCATCCTCCAAAGTCTTGGTAATTTCAAAGGGTTTGGGTTGGGATTTAAAGCAAGACTTGAATTTTGCATATGGCATGTGTCCTTTGCCACCCTCATCCCTTTTATCAAAATGTTGTAGGAAAGAAAAATGTGGTATCACTTGACCAGGCTTTATGCTTGTCCATGTGGTCAGAGGTGCATCCTCCACATTCTTGTAATTTCGACGGGGATGCGTTGGGACTTATTAAATTTTGCATGCAACATGTGTCCTTTGCCATTTCCATCCCTTTTCTATGTACTCTTTCCATAAGCTGTATGGCCACCAATTTGATTTGTTGTTAGTTTCTTTTATGTTCTTTTATCTTTGCTGATAAATGCTTGCTGTCTCCTGCCGTGATGACTGAATTTCAAGTTACTTACAAGCTCAACGCATCATATGCGTGAGGGAACCGCCCTTTGTCATCCATACCTGATCCTTAGTCTTGGTTTGTTTATTTGATAACCACTGACAGTTAACTGTCCAATCGGCAGCAGCTTCTATGTCTGTCTTCTTGCTTCTATAATGTGGATTAGCTATTTGGTGAAACAGTTGCGTATTGGATCCTTACAATCTCTGCGACCTTTGATTTACAGGTCTTTCTCTGCTTTGGGAATTCGGTGGCCTCCACTCGTTTCATGTTACAGGATGAGTTCAACATACAAACAACTCAATGTGATAACTGCATAATTGTATTTCCCTTGCTCTGCTTCCTCAAACTAGTCCTTTGTGCTCATTTATCTTTTTCCCTATTACTAACATGCTTTCTATGGTAGGGTTTTATGGTCTGCCTGAACCAAATTGCATGCATATTTTCTATAGTAGCAATGATTGTGGGAAGTCAAGAAATCCAAGAAGCATCTCAATTGTTGAATTGCCTTTCTGATTTGGTTTACTGCACGTAAGTCTCTTCTTCCTTATTCTTCTTAATCTGACTAGTGAATATCCCCTGATTTGGTTTTTTGTTTGTGCAGTGTCTGTGCGTGTATGCAGGTAAGCAGTCATCAACTTTTATCAAAGTATCATGGACTTAATGGTATGCTTACGTGACTTCTAAAATATCCATCACATTTTAGTTCGTGGGAATGCAAGTTGTATAAATGGATATGGTCAACAACAGCATACCTTAAACTAAGCCTTGTGACATGGTGAAGTCATTATGCTGTCTTTTTAAAAACATGCTTGTTTTGAATTGATATGATTTTCTGACATACAGTACAAGGAATCAAAAGTGGCTTGTGTCTATAATGGACGCAAGCAACCTTGAGTGGTACCAATAAGGTTGTTGTTATACTAAACTTGTGCTTATTGATACCTGAATTAAGTACCAATACACTTTTTTATCGGCGTCAATCAGAAAATGCGCTAAATGAGTACCATTAGTTCAATTGATGCGCTTAATTGGTACCATTAATTCAATTTGGAACCAATAAAGAAGTGTATTGGTACTTAGTTTGGGTATTAATAAGCACAAATTTAGTACCAACTACATAGATTTAAAGTTGCCTGTGTCCAAAATAGTCACAAGGCACTTTTGATTTTGACAACCTCGCTCACATCTATCAGCTGTCTGAACCAGCCTAGCAAATGCAACTTATTGCCATGAAATCCCATGATCAGGGGTCCCTTGCTATGGCTAATAAGCTTCTGTTTCCTTTGATTCTCAACAAAGATCTATTTAGGATTGTCAGGTATCGAACTGTCTAACCATGATCTATTTCTGAGCGTCAGACAGTTCGCGATTTCTTCCATTGCGATCTGACTTCCAGACTCAGATTATATTAAAAAAGGAAAAAAAAATGTTTTTTTATTAATGGCAAAATTTCAAATTGCATATGTTAATAATTTGTCAATACACTCAAATGGCATTAACTATATTAATAAATGTCCAAGTCATCATTAGCTAAGCATTCTAATCTATCTTAACTTTGGGAGTCTTTTGTGCGTCATTTTTAGTGTCTTCTTCCACATCCACTTTCACGGCCCCTAGTTACCCCAACCATCACCCCTTGTGTTGGACTCTCACCATTAGGGTTGGGTCGTGTTTCTCAATAAACCATCTTTTCTTTACCCTTACCTGTAGGCACGCTCTTTTTCTTAGGCATGATAGATTGATAGGGGTCTTAAACACATTTTCTTGGGGTTTCGGACCCAAGCACTTTTTTGGAGGAGCCTTCTACCTCCAAGACGCTCTTTGTTACTCTTTGACTTCGTCGGAATATATGGTTCCGCGGTAGCTTCACTGGCTAGAGAACCCTTGCAAACGGGCAACTCACTTTACTCTCTCCTAGCATTGATTTTGCTCTTCTCATTCCGGGGCATTCATTCACATTTTTAAATGTTGGACAATATGCTGACTCATGCACAATGTTAAAAGATGACATTGGCCTCTCGGTCAATGCTCTTCGAAATATATGACATTATCCAAGGAGAAAGCAACATCACGTGGCCATATAACATCTTGCCTTGGAATAATATGCGCGTAAAGCCATATTGCCTCATCACGTTAGAAGGAATATAAAAGGCAAGTCTAGTCAAGTTAGGCATACGGACACAAGGAGTTTCATTTATTTTTGTCAATCATGCCTATAATCTTTCTTCAAGCTCCTTTGACTTGAAAAATTGCCTCCAATTGTCATTTGATCTAGCTGGAAAGCACCTCTTTCTCCTTTCATGGCTGTCTTGTAATAAAACTTCCTGCGCTTTTTCTTTTTATTTCTTTTGGGGTTTGGGCTGTAATTTGTTTTAAATTTCCTGTTCGTTGAAGCTTTCCCCAACTGGGTGAAAAAAGGTAAATGAGTGCCAAAAAAAAAAAAACACACTTGGGTACACATACTTGTAGGTGTTGTGTTCATGTTACTTGCAGGTGTACCCAGACACCACACTGTTGAGGTTTTCACTGTTTTGCTCCTCACCCCACCAACCAACTCACCCACTCACAAACACATCGAACTTAATGTGTCTGTGAGTATAGACTTGTTATGGATTGGACTAGCTAGTCCTACTAGTTACTTTACATAGGACTTGCTTCATAAGTCATGAAGAGTGAAAAATATAGTGTTTGTCTTGTTTAAATCAACAAATAATCTGCATTTATTGACTTGTGACTAGTGCTCTTGCTGTAAATCTAATAGGCTTCATATGCTGAATGTAGCAATTGAGCTTTGCTCTTGTTCCAAGTTCTTTGTAAAGGTAGCTTGTACGACCTAAACCTACATGTTTGTGGTTATGCTCAGGTTGAGAGAGATTTTTAGTTAGCATGAGCTGAATTTTCTGGAAGTTCAAGGGGCTGATAAGTTACCAATAACAATTCATTGGCAACAAGGCATTGCCAAAGTCATGAGACGTAGAGTCTCTTAGTCCTCCGTTAGTAAAAAATACAGTCCTTGATAGTGAGAGAAAAGGAGGATTTTAAATGTGACAACGAACAAGTTAAAAGCAAAACAATCGTAGCATGCATTTTTGGGAAGGCAACTTCTGCTTTTGTTTTTATTGTTGTAAGGTCAGAAACTAAATTGCTATGGTTGAATCCACTGTTTTTACTAAAGCTCGTCCCTGTATCTGGTGCACTGAAATGTCTTATTACTATTATTCTCACCGCACTTAGATAACCAATGGCAAGTTGCTTATTATTGCAGACACAGCATAAGATTGAAATGGACAAGCGAGATGGCAAGTTTGGGCCTCAGCCGATGGCAGTGCCCCCAGTTCAGCAGATGTCTCGGATTGACCAGCCGTATCCTCCCACTGTTGGATATCCATCTCAACCTCAAGGATATCCACCTCAGCCTCATGGATATCCACCCCAAGGATATCCTCCTCAAGCTCATGGATATCCACCTCAGCCTCATGGATATCCACCCCAAGGATATCCTCCTCAAGCTCATGGATATCCACCTCAACCTCAAGAATATCCTGCTCCGGGCTACCCACCAGCGGGCTCTGCTTATCCTCCTCAAGGCTACCCACCCGCTGGCTATCCCAAGTGATCCCCTCTTGCTATTTGAAGTGGTCTAAAATATTTGATTCATTGTGTTGAGCTATGCGTGATATACATAGATTACCCTTAATTATTCATTGTTGTAGCAGTGCTGCGGCGTCTATTGTAGATTCTATCCATTAAAACTTGTCTAAGATACGCTGTGTCTTATCTTTTTTTTTTTTTTTTTTTTTTTTTTTTTTTTTGTCTGAATGTTCGTAAATTGTAATCTGCACAATGCTAATATTGGAAATTCCAGTCGAAGAGTGGTGTCTTATAGACTATTTTGCTTTGGGTTTTTACATATGATTGCCCATGTTCCTTCATGCTTCAGGTTGTAAAGAATCACAACCTTCATAAATTTTGGAGAAAGCAATATTGAAGCAATAAATCAAAAATTTTCCTCTTAGGCTCCTTTTTTTAGTGGAAAATGATTTTCCTTTCACTTCTCCATTTCCCTTCACTGTATTGTTTTGTGAAAGAGTGGAAAATAATTGTTTTTTTTATAAGTGAAATGTTACTTTTAGGAGAAGAAAAACCATAATCTCATGTAAAGAAGGTATGTCACTTTTTCTTCTTTCCTCATCACTTCTCTATCTGTCTTTTTTCATTTTATTTCCATATTTTTTTTCCATTATTTTTTTGACGCGTTTTTTTTTTCCCAAAATAAGTTTTCTTATAATCAAACAAACAAAGGAAAAGGAAAACCATTTTCATAATCTTGTTTTCTATTGAAAAATAATTTTGTAGAAAGTGGTTTTCCATGAAAAATGTTTTCAATAAACAAACGGAGCATTAGAATCTAAAATGTAACATGATCAGTCAAAGAGTTAACAAGCTGTGACCTTCATGAGAGTTTCCATAACTAACTAAACTCGTTATACCGATAATCTTTGCTGGAAAGCTACAACTTTCTTCACACTCGGATCCATTGAAAATAAAATCATTGAACCATCCTAAAAAGCTAACTATCTGATCTATGCTTTACACTTTATGATCAAAATGAGTAATTTCATTGACATCACCTGAATTTCTTAATAACAAGTAAGAGGCTTCTTCGCAGCGTCGTAGGTTGTTGAGTCAAAGTGAGTATAATACTCTTACTCTATTGCACATTTGCGCATGTACGGCTGCACAACATCCCCGAAGCAACGCATAGGACGGTGGCGAATTATTGAAGCCAGTTTCTTAAACTTTATTTTGATATTACGCGTTTCAATCATTAGTTATATTAGTTACTGGAATTCCGTACTTTTTGACTAATTGTAGGCTTAATTATTCATTAAACAATTTTCGGTCGTGCTTCGAGTTGATTTTTAATTGTTTTCGTGTTCTTGCCAACTATATATCTCGTTGATGAAATTTTTTGCCAGTTTGTTGGTTATGACATTAAAAATAAATCAAAAAACAAATAATTTCAGTCGTCCATTTTAAAAATTTGTGGTAGTCAAAAGTCATAAACTGCATTAGAATTTTCAACGACTTTATCTGATCTCTATATTACAAGTCTTTGGTGTTAACTTAAACCAGCTAAATTGTTGATGCGCATCGATTGTCCTTACCTTTTATATACGTACTCCTTTAGTGTGATCCTTGTTGTACTTTTTTTTTTGAAATTTAAAGCACACATCCAGCACATTTAAATACGTAGTATAAGTATTTATATACAATGTATATACAATTTTGACAAAATAACAATAGATAAAAACAAGTGTTGCGGAGTATTTTTTTTTTAATATGAGTAGAAAAATTCAGATATGATTTCATATTATTGTAGACAAGTTTAGACAAATTAAAATAGGTCTAGTTTTGTAAAAAAAAAAAAAAGGTTTAGACAAATTAATATAAGTTTGAGTAATATAATTTGGAACAAAAATCAATAAACCAAACAGAGTTTAAGATCAAAATTTTGATGTTAATTTAAGCCAAAGTCAAATTTGTAACGTTATTTATAATTAAAGCGTGGGTACAAAACTATTTCCATAATGCGTGCAAGTCATAAAAATAATTGAGATTTGACACTAATTGGATCCATAACTAAGTAGTGATCACAATGTAGGTTTATTTAGTCATTTGGTTGACTTATTAGTTTTACTTAATGAAATTATGAAATGTCGGTAACTTGAAAATTGTCGGCTTAACTATTGAAAATAAGAGAGTCAACCGTTCGTTAAGCATGTTCTATTTTCATATGTAGTTTGTTGATTCCTCAAGTAAACTAAATTGTCTCTTAATACAAAGTTTTTGTGTTGGAGTATTGCTGACACCTATTTCAATCTTTAGTATTTTCGAAAGACTTTTAAGTGGAACAATGTAATTATGTAAATCATGTATATGAGGTAACACTGTGTAAATTTCATATAGTAGAGGTATCATGTTACGCCAAATGCCCTTTACGTACATATAAAATAAGACTTTTATTTTTTAACATTAACATAAGAGGAATAATGTTAAATCTATACTATGATATGACATCATATAATTTAATTTCACTTGAAGGATACATGATATCACGTTACACGTTATACTTATTACATTATTGTACTGATAACTATTTTAATTACTATATATATACTCCGTATTTATAAATAAACATTCAAAGAATAAATGTATATCATTTTATTATATGTAATCATTAATGTTACTTCGTACGATAAATTACATATCGTGATATCGACCGATATTATTAGCTTTATTTATGCTTAAAATTCTTATATTCATTCATATTCTTACTTATAATACAAACTCTAAAGAATATGGGCTCTATTTAAATAGCACGCAATTGCTAGAAAGAAGAAGAGCATGACATATGTAATAAGATGAGGTGGTGCGTAAATACTTCCACCACTAATTGAATATATTTTGGTACGTTTCATTTAATAACATTTAGGGCCCCATTAAAACTCAAATGTTTAGCGATCACACATTCACATAAACACATGACACATGCATGGATAATAACGTACTGAGGAAGGATGTAGGGATATAAATAATGGTTCATCATTCGTTCATTTGTACGGAGTTTACACTAACTAGAGGAGATGCTTGAATTCAAGGTAAAAAAATTATGGAGTTTTCGAATAATATATAAAAGGAAGCTAAGGTAAGAGGTAGTGGTCATTATTGAAGGAGGTGGAGGGGTAATTTAACATATTATGATTACCTTCATTCCAAAGTAACTTAACGGTACAAATTGGAAATGAGGAAGTTTGTTACCTCCATTATTGAAGGTGGCAAATTTCATCATCATATGTTTGTCCTTAAAGATCACCATAATCTTCAGTCATCTTCATCCTCGGTCTTATCTTTTCTTATTACTTCCGATCCTTTAAGGCCTTAAATATATAGTTTTACCCATAAGGCTCCGAACTCATGACTTGATAAGGCTTGTTAGGCACTAAGGCAAACATATAGTGTTACGTTTACGGAATATATTCGATATTCTTTTTCATTATGCATGAAAGTTACACATATCATTAATTCTCTTCGGTTTAGGGAATTGCCCAATTCTTAAATGGTGCAATAGTAGAAAAAGAAAAGTAAGGAGTTAAAAACGAACGATTAACAATAAAAAAAAAATATCCAATTTGTTTTTTTTATATTCTACTCAATTACTACTATAAATATGCAATGAAAATTCGAAAAAAGTGAACGCGTTTAAAAAAAGAGAGAGAGAGAATGTAAAAGGATGAACGAGTGTAAATAGAAAAGTGAATAAATTAAGAAAAGATAAAATGATAAAAAAAAAAAAAAAAAAAAAAGTAAGCATAATTTAAAATAAAGTAAAGCCAGTAGAATAGAAATATTCGAAGGGATTCGTATACCACAAGGAAAAGATCAAGTATAGAAACTTGACGATATCGCTCATAGGTTTGTTATATCATGCAATCTCTACGCATACGCATTGCAGTGGAAGGTTCAACATTGTGCTAAATCAACAACACTTCCAGCCAGTCCTGTAATAATACTATTTATACTTTTTTATTAAAGACACGCATGCAATAATACAGTGCCTATAATTCTAATTTCTGAATTAAAGATCTTAACTTTTTTCAATTGATTATATCAAAAGTTTACAAATCTTTGTCTTTTTATGGAAAGTTTTTAGTTGCAAGAATACTTTATAAGATGGATGGGGTGTGAAACTTCTCTGGAAGAAGAGGGAAGAAGTTATTAAATTAATATTATCACGGCTTTAAGTTATTATTATTGAAATTATGTTACTAAAATGGTTTGCTTTTAAATCAACTTTGGCATTAATTGTGTACAATACTAATTATTACTCCATAATATTTTTTTTTTTGAGAAAATTACTCCATAATATTTTGATTAGAGGTGACAGGTGGATCGTTTAAACTAATTTCGGTTTGTACTATACTCGATTGATGTATCATTTGTTTCGATTTTTAGTCTTGTTTATCAAGTTACACTTGGATTCTTAGTTTGTCAATTAGTCTCTCATGATCAATGAATTATCATTATCATTATCATTATCAATGCCATTAAGTTATAGATCATGAAAAACTTGGTCAATCTTAATAGCCTGACCAATTTGAATCATGTAATTAATTTCATATTCGCGTCAAGAAATCGATTTATAGCAATAATACAACCGTATCACTCAAACTTTTCATAATAATAAGGATTTTTTTGTGAAAAACTACCTTATATACTTCAAATTTTGTGAAAAACTACCTTATAAAAAAATTATTGTAAATAAAAACTAAATGTTGTAAATTGCTACCACATGTGGTTGATTTAACAATGAAAGAGAAGAAGAATTAGGGGTATATATATGGGGGTTATGGAGAAATTGGGTGGGAAAAGGAGAAAAAAATGATTGAAAATAGGTCATTAAATGTCCCTTATTCAGTGTAATAATCCGACAAAAGGTAGCTTGTTACAACATTTAGTGTTTTATAAAGTAGTTTCTTACAACATCTAAGTTTTATAAGATCGTTTCTTACAACATTTTTTTAATAAGGTAGTTTTTTCACAAAAACTGAAATGTATAAGATAGTTCTTCACAAAAAGTGCTAATAATAAAACATACTTCGAAGTCTTCTTTCCTTAGTGTTGGTGAAACAATTAAATTAATAACTGTCGACAAAAAACAATTTACCACAAACAATGTACTATAAAACAACTACGGAGTATTTTCTCTTTTAACTTCGCTTAAAATAGCACATACAACCTATATAAGCTCTACCTATCCAATTCCGCCTTGTCCTTAATTCAATCTCTCCTACTCGTCTTACACTATCTTAATGAATTAAACTAATAC